CCCTATTAATGCTGTTTCAATTAGATTTATTTTTTATCAAAACCACTCCATAGTTAAAAATTTTCTATGTTATTTGTTCTTCTAATTCTTAATTAAATTAGCTTTTTTAACAATTTGTCTCTGCTTATATGTTCTGTGCTAATCCTAAGTACCTTTAATACATGCATAATCATTGAGTTACCTTGTCCTATTGAGGTGCAGGAACTGTTGTCCTTCCAGTAAAGATTTGATGTATACTTCAGCAGCCTGTGAAATTTAATGGTTGATTAAGAGTGGGAATCTTACTTAACTATTCTTAAATGAAGATTTCATTTAAACATTCTATAAATTTCGAAAATGTTTTAAAAATTTTAGAAATCCTGGGTTTCCAAAGTGTTTTTAATTGCTTTGCTCTCACAGGCTATGGATCCATTATTCAGATGTACCCAGGAGGAGGACCTGTTAGAGCTGCTACTAGTTGTTTTGGATTTCCAAAACATTTTTTCGATAATCTTCATGAATTTCCCCTCAGCAAAGTGGATAGTCTCCTCTCTGGGACATTTTCTACAGAGACTCTCCCTTCAGAACCTGAAGATAACACACTAGTGGAAGAAGAAAGCAATGGATTGCTGGATGAGAAGCAGACTTGCCCCCAGGAAACAGAAGAGGAGTCTACTACTGAAGCAGCTATGGAGCTCAACCAAACAGAAGAGCAAGAAACAATGGACATGAATGCTGAAGATGTAGAATTTAAAGAGAACAAAGAAAAAGAAAATAAAGAAAATGTAAGAATATTTATTGCGACTGCTCAAGTTTTACATATACTTACAAATTACTGTATACTTGAAATTCTGTCGTTTGAATCGGGCATGCTGAAATACAGCTTATTCAGGTGTTAAAATGGAACTCTGGAAGTTGTCTTATATTAAGCCATCTAAGATGCAAAAAACGAAAATTGCATTCATGCTATAGTGATCCAATATATAATTAACATTTAAAGTGCAAACTATTCTTGTTCAAAGGTTCGGGAAAAGCAAAGGAAACAATGGGAGAGAAGGAAAAAGCTGATAGAAACTGCTGCTTTGTTGCAAGAGAAGAATGCTGATGGGTGAGTTTTTTTGTTTTCAGAAAGGTCTGATGTTTTTTGTGATGTTTGTAGCAAATGCTGAAGTGATTTGAGTTAATCAAGTGACATTGATTCAGTTAATTTAGTAACATTCACATTCATTTTTTCCTCCTAAGAATTGTTGTCTCACTGGGAATAGAGCCCTTCTGCATGGATAAATATTAATGCACGTTTATTGGTTATGTTTAAATGCTTGTGTAGTTTGTGTTTTTATTACTGTGAAATGTTTTGACTCATGATACACCAAAATATGAATGAGCATATCTAGCATATTTAAGTGGTAGAATTAGCCTTTTCTATGAAGATGCAGGGACAGGTCATTCTGTGTTCTCCGAAGCAATAAAATGGTAAAGGAGGTTTGTAAAAACTTCTGCACATCTGTTGGGCAGCAGCAGCACCACTGACATGCCTGTGGATGACCATTAAACTGCCTCAACAGTGGCAGCATTTCTGGTTTTACCACTGTCTCCTCCACCCATCATTACTGTCTGTGTGTGGTCTGGGAAAAAGAAAATTAATATTTGACTTCACCTGATTCTTCCTGTAGTGAAAAATAGTATATTTGGTACTTGATTAAGTATTTGGGTTCAAGGAAACCTATTTAGTGTTTTTCCCTTCTTCATCTGTTTTCAATCACTTGACACTTTTGTCCTTTGTCACGCAGGGAAACTGTAACAAATTATACACCTGAAGGGATGAGTGATTTCTTGCTCTAGGAAGTCTGCAGCAGGATGGGGGAGGAAGAGAGGTTTATGGTTGCCTGAAGGTGTTGTCTCAGGTGGCTCAGTCAGGATCCCCTTTCTTCAGTCATCTGCCTTTTCTAGCCCACCATTGGTTTAGATGAAGAACCACAGAGTACATGTGCTGCTACGCCAGGAAAAATTGGCATGGAATGAAGAAATGCTTCCAAGTTACAACTTGGCACAGGAGCAGAAGCAGGCAGGGGCAGCAGGGTCTGGTTTGGTTTGGTTTGGTTTTGCAAGAGAGAAATAGAAAAAGGGCTGGTAAAAGCTGGTTCATGTTGGAGGTGGGAAGAAAGATCAGGACTTCCTGTCAGAGGAGAAAAAAACTGGTCGTTGGGTAAAGATGGGCACCAACTTTAGGAATATTTACTTCTTGAGGTCCTGAACTTTAGACTATTTACTAATGTAGAAATGACAACCTAAGTAAAATTTGTCTCCTGTGCTATTATGTAGCAAAACAGTCCCAGCACACGTTTGTTCAATCCATTTATGAGAGTTGAGTCTGTCACAGGCCCTTGGAGGGGGGCAGGAAGGAAGATCTTTATTAGGGACTCGGTATTTTTTTTTAAGAAGACAATTTTAGGACATACTGTTATTTTTTTTCTGACACAGTGAAAGCAGAATTTGGTTTATAGACACTCTGTGTTCAGAATTAGACCACAACCCCTCTCTACCCTTCCTTGCCCTTCCTCCACCACCTCCTCTTCCTCTCTCCTCTCACCCATTGCATTGTTTGTGGCGACCTGCTGAGAGCAATATGTGCTGCCATATGAGAGCGGAATCTGATTTCCCCCAGTCTCTCTCATCTCTCCCTTACCTTCCTGTTGTCTGGCAGAGCTCCTGGCCGTGGCAGGGCAGCACTCCAACCCTTCTGAGGCACAGGCTGCAGTCTTTTTTTCTTTATGGTCCACTTGGTCAGTTACTGAGCACAAATTTTTTGAAGTCTGGCATTGGGGTTAAATCTGTAGCCTGCACAACCATGGCCAGCAGAAAATTAAAATGGGAACAACTATAAAAGAATCATCTCAGCTCTTTTTCTCCATTGTGTTAGAAATGTGAACATTGTTTTTTACCTCTCTTTTGTTATGTAAGTTTGATGGTCTCTCCAGTGCTGTAATTTGCCCTGGAGAACAAATGTTACTTAATTGATGGGTCCTTTCATGTAGTAACTGTATGCTAGACAAGTAGCTTAATTAGCCATTCTCTGTGCACAAGTACAATTTGGTAACTCACTGAATCTCAACCATTTCTTGCAGTGCAGTTCAGCAGAATTTTATTTTTTAAATAAAACCTCTGCAGAGAACCTTACACATCTGTAAATCTGATTTTATAATGTGTTATTTAAATTAGGGTAAAGATTAAAATATGATGCCTTTAAGCTGGCAAGAACATAATTTCTTTTGAAAAGATTCTCTTAGTCATGCCTATGAAGGGATTGTTTTCTCTTTAAATAATAACTTTTTAATATAACACTGTACTTAATGATTACCCAGTCTAACGAATCACTACTAAGGTTACATTCTAAGAAACAATTAGCAGTCCCAACATTTAAATTATATTTGGACATTGATCTTAGCACACAAATTCTTGGGTTGTAGGAATTCTTGTGGAGCTCAGCAATGAACTTCTTGAAATGAACTTCTGCACTGTGCGGAGTATACTGCACTTTTGGGAACAACCATTTTAGCCTCTTAATTATGCAAGTAGGAAATGGTGATTTGTTTTTATATTTGGGGAGCTGTTAGAGCCATGAAAACATGCTGATTAGCAGCACTTAAGCTATAATTGATTGCTGGGCTAAGTAGGATAAAATGTCACTTGATGAATAGGTTTTAGAAGCAGAAAACTAATGCAGGTGAAATTTCTTTTGCAGCTTAATTGTAGCCAGCAAGTTTCACCCCACTCCATTATTACTTTCTTTATTGGAATTTGTTGCTCCTTCAAGGCCTTTTGTTGTCTACTGCCAGTATAAAGAGGTAAATCAAGTGTGTTACTTTAGCAGTTATAGTTTGAGACTGTTTTCCTGTATAACCTACTATTTGTGTGGGTTTTTTTAAGCCCTTGTTAGAATGTTACACAAAGCTGAGGGAAAGAGGCGGTGTTATCAACCTGAAGCTGTCTGAAACCTGGCTCCGAAACTACCAGGTAAGGATTACAGTAAGTGGTTGTCAAAACTGCATGAGTGCTGGGGAGCAAAACACTCTGGAAATGGGTTGGGGGTTTTGGTTTTTTTTTTTGACTGACTGAAACTACGTATAAGCCTTCATTTTACCTGAGAGCGCTGGGGAGCAAAACACTCTGGAAATGGTTTGGGGGTTTTGGGTTTTTTTTTGACTGACTGAAACTACATATAAGCCTTTGTTTTACCTGAGAGCAGATAGATAGATAGAAAATATCCAGAGGATTTTTATTGCTTCATTGCAACAATTTCAAATGGAAATACATTATTTTCTTTTTACAAAGCATATAACTTAAACATTTGCTGA